AAATGTAATTTCTAATGGGCACGGATTACGTGACGGAATCCTTAAAAAATGTAACAACTGTATGAACATTTCTCCATACAAGGAAAACGCGAAAAAGTAAAATTCCATAGAGAGGAAATTTTTATCTTTACCGGGATTACGAGTTTCGGTTCTTACTTGTTCGGTGTGGGTGGGGATTAATCGGGCCCCTTGGGGAATTTCGTCATGGAATACGATAGAATCGGGTCACAGGGATGTTGAAATTGAACTGGGAGTGTAGTATAGCTTCGGAAATTTTCGAGCGTTGCACGTAAAGTGAACTCTGTAGAGAGGGAGAGAGAGGGGCAGAGAGACAGAGATAGCAAAATCGAACTAGTGAGAAAAAGAAAGAAAGAGAATAAATGAATGAGAGAGAGAGAGGGAGAGGGGAGTCTGGAAGACTGGCCTTTTCCGCGGATGGATAAAAGGATGGGGAACGGGTCAAAAACACGAGATAATCTCATTAAAGCCGCTTTAATCCGGCAAAGGGAAATTCTCCTGGCTCGTAATTTTATCGCAACCGCCGCTGGCGATACAATTAACGTTCTTCGCGGCTCCTGTCACACCACACGAACGTCCCACTCCTTTGTTCGGACGAGTTTTCCAGGAATAATTGAAAAATTGCACTTGAAAAATAGAATTTTCTCCCGAAATTTCAGCTTTTGAGGCAGAACGGCGTTGATCGACAAAACTGGCGTCACGTACGGGCCGCCATCTTGGCTACGAATTATCTTTCCAGATAGCCTTTCTCATAGCTCCATGAATAATGAAGATTTCTATTATACCGATGCGATCTTTGCCGCGTAAAGCGTATATGTAAACTTTTCATCTTCTATCGTGAATTTCTTAACTATATATTTCCAACTTCTAAATTCTTCTTACTTAAACATTGATACATTTTAATAATACGAATAAACGTTTCTTAATATTGTTATTTTAAAGTTTCCATAAAGTCATGCATTACAACAAAGATTCTTAATCTTGATTGGTTCATCGAGGAATATAGCGTTCTAATTTAAAATGATTTAACCAATAGTGCGTTCGATTCACGGACGGGCAGGGAAGAAGAAGTTCGAGATTTTTCCAGAGACGGACGTGGAAACGCGATCCTCGAAGCAGAACAATCTCATCGAGCGTGAAAAATAAGTAAACCTGTGCGCGATTGAAGAGTCTCTCTCTCTCTCTTTCTCTCTCTTCTCCCTTTCCCCAACCGCGCAAAAGGCATCCAACCGTCCCTCCCTTTAATCCCACTGGGTAAAGGACCTCGTTATCGTATTTGATCCCGATGTAATCGACCGCCACAGAACCGGGAAAATCTGATGGAACGCGGGTCGTGTCGTCGTATAATCGCTATTAAGCGAAGGGATCGATGTATTTCTTCCATCGAATCTCGGTTAATTCCACGATCAGGGATCCTTATCAGGGATCGTTAATCGGAATTGTAGGGGGTCAGGGTCAGGTTAGGTTAGGTTAGGTTAGGAAGGAATAAGTACATATGTACCTATGCTGGTGGAATTGAAACAGATTGGATCCGTTTAAGTCTAGATTTAGTTTTGTCACATTTGGATTAAGACCGGTTGACCTTAGATTAGATCTGGTTAACTCTGAACTATAGGCGTGTTTGACTTAGATTAAGCTTGATTAAGTTTAAACTAAGCCTAGTTAGCTCCAGATTGGGCTCGATCGTGTTACATCTGGTTGAATCCAGTTGTATCCAGATTATCACTTGAACCTAGATTCGATTTTTTTTTTTTTCAATCTCGATAGATGCGACTTCGACTTACGTTTTCAGAATGTGTTTACATGCTTGTTAAGTTAAGTTAAAATTGAATCTGATCAAATCGAAAATTATACAGTTAAATTTTTTAGAATTCTGCACGAAATTTTAATATTATCTCGATTAGATCTCATTAAATTCATATTACATCTGGATCAAACTTGCTCGATTCTCGGATTAGATCACGTTAAATCTATTTAAATTTTAAGTCTAAACGAAGACTAGTCTTTATCCCTGATCAGATTCAACCAAATCCACGATACCTAAAATCTAGATTAAACTCGGCCAATTCCTGATTAAGTCCACACCTCTCCGCATTACTGAATAAACCAACTCTAAACAAAAAGCCTACATTTATCCCGATTAAACCAAATCCGGGCCAAGTCTAGATTAAAACCGATCGATTCGAAAACTTAAACCGCTTAACACCAAATTAAATTTATTACCAGAGAAAATTCTTCGGGTCAATTCGAAAGGAGATGGCCGATCTTCCAGAACCAGAACTTGGGGGAGGGGGGAGTCGAATTGCGAAACGAGACACACGAGAAAGTACAGGATCCCCGCGAGTCGGTGGAAATTCGATCCACCAAATATTATTTATATATATATATATATATATATATATATAT